ATTATAATGCTTTCATCATACTATTTACTATTTTAATAATCTAATCTCATCTCATTATTATATAGCTACGAGAGAGAGAGAGAGAGAGAGAGAGAGAGAGAGAGAGAGAGAACAAATATTTATTTAATACTAAATATTTATTGATTTTTGCAATCAATTAATATTGCATGCGAATCTATCAATACTAATGCTACTAAATTTTAGCTATCAAAGGTAAACCCTTGACAGTACACATGGAAGCACCAGCACTCCATCGTTGTGCTACTTTACCTGATGCTAGACAAAATATGTCACCTTTAACATCGGCTAGTTCGGCAGAAGATGAAAATTTAACTGGTTGTACACCAGCATTACGCCGTCGAAGACAAAGTGAAAAGTATGTAACAGATGCCAGTCAACTAAATTTACGATTTCAAAGACCACAACGTAGGATGAGGCCAAATTCTGAAGTATTACCAAGATGCTTCCCTAGAGGTGTACCTTCGCATCTGTTAGGAGAGGGTGGTAAAAGAACAGAAGAAAGCAGTGATAATGATTCCGATAGCAGTGGTCCACAAAACGCTCAACCTCCACCACCACCTGCAACTCTTCCTCCTCATGTAGCAGAAAATAATGCTAGGTATAACATCATCGACTTGTTTATTATTTTATATCACTAGATGATTACAAATATAATTTAATATGTTTATATTAAAAAATCAATGTGTTACCAATATTTGTATATGCATATACATGTATTTAATATTGCAGGTGCCGCAGATTCAGACCTATACCAGATACTACTGTAGTTAGCAGAGAATCGTGAGAATTAGTGTTCAGAATTTCCCAAGTCTTTGCTTATATTACAATCAAGACAATTCTACCACAGCCAACTGGGAGTGTGATACTTTCTTGGAAAAATACAGCCTTCATAGTAATCCGAGATGCTCGTTAAAAGTTAAAGACTTTGCTGAAAGGAATGGATATTCATTGTTATTTTATAAGAAAAGCACAGCACTATATTACTTTGGTATGTGATCGCGTAAAATATTGTTTTAAAATCACATCTTCAATTAAATTATCGTTATTTATGACGTGATACATTTTTTAATTTTTAGGACATAATTTACAAATTGCAGTAGGCTGAACGTAATTGTAAATACTTCTATTTTCAATGTACATTCAGTATAAAAAATGCAAGTTTTCAAATAACTAACGTCAAAAAATATATCTTTTTAAATATGAAAATCTTGAATACACACAATAGATCTTTACAATTATTTTATTTTATATTAAGATGTTTTCTACTACGTACATAATTACGTAAATTGAATTTATTTCTATAGATAACTGTGATTTTTAGTTCCCATTTTTTTCTGCAAAAAATATGTTTTTATTTACTTGTCTCATATAATTAAGTTAAATTATTAAATTGTGTTTTATTTAGATTAAATATTAAAAAAGTATATTTTAGAAACACCATAATATGAAATATACTGTTTGTGCATTGAAAATTACTCTGAAGTTTAAATTGCATAAAATATGATATGTTAAGATATGTTTGAGGACTACAAAACAATGCTTCGTTGTGACTTTGATCATGTAATGCACTTGAGTGTTAAATTATACATGATAAAGAATTACACATATACATACATCATGCGCGCGCGTTCGCGTATATACAGATGTAAATTATAATAATAATGCTAGGATTACATATGTACCAATGCGGATTATTATATTTAGCAATTTTACATACAATGTAAAGCACTCAAACGAAAAGTTATGCCTGATGCTAAACACAAATTCATACATATAATACTAGTTACAACTCTGATCAGTATATCTTATTTACAGTTTAAATTGCAAAGGAAGCAGATATTTATCTCATAGAAGATAATTTTGAAGTAACCAATAATTCGGGCGAGTATGCTAGTCTTTAAAAGCCCACTACAGGAATCAACAGAATGCAACAATTTTTCTAGTAATATTGTCCAGATTTTTGTGTATCATATTTAATTAATTATTTAAACATACTTGGGTATTTAGTATATTTATTGGTAACAGACATCATAATCGATATAATTTCCAAGCTTCTTTTTTCCATACTGTGCAATACTAGAGTTGTTAAAAACTGTGATCATAAATTGCAAAAGACTTACAAAGTTGATCACGATCTTCAATATTATTATTCCATGTAAGTGGAGAAAATATGAAGTTGAAATAAGCAATGTTAGATCACCGGTTATAAGCTGCATTTTTTACTTAGAAAGATTAGTATATTATAGTTTTATTTTAATATTTTAATTATTTCACATATACTGAGCTGTTTCTTTTTTTTCGTTCTAACAATTACTTACAAATATATTAAAAATATATAATGGGTGTCCAAATAGTTTATAATTCAAGATTTAGATAATATTTTTCAAAGTAGAATATTTTTCATGAAAATTGAGTATAACATATTTTATTAATAACACTTTATAACATTCTTTTATTCAAATATTATGCAGCTTTTCCTATAAATAACCAATAATTCACAAGTGATTAAAAAATCTAGTGATTCTTAAAACTAGTCAATATAATTCTTTAATGTCGTATTATTAAAATCAATTTTCTGAGCATAAAATTATTTATCTTGTAAAAGAAAAAAGTTTTATGCAATTCATGAAATTTTTCAAGAAGTAACATAAGATATAATGATTAGTTCTTAAATTATAAAACGTATAAATTATTTATTAATAAAAGAGACTCATATTTTGTTTAAAATAAAATGTTCTTACATATTTTGATGTATTGAACATTGAGAACAAAATTAAATTGAATAAACCTATGAATATATATTTGGATGAATATATATTAAAGGTGTATCACAAAGACATAGCTATAAAAATAAAGGATATAAACATAATTTGCTAGTAAAATACTAGTCAATCGTCGATTCTATATATATACTTACATCTACATTTATAGATATATTAAATATAAATTCTTTTCAAATGTGTTAATTTGATTTTCGATTATAAAAAGTGAAAGTAATAGTATGAGTATTCACTTCAAATTTTATAGAATATGGAAATAATTGAAAAAAACGTCTTTTTTTTAATTGTGTAAATAAAATAATATGGGGTATGTATCTGTGTTTGAAGCTATAAGGTATATATCACAAGTGTACAATGTACGGCATGTATGTACGTGTACACATATACATGCGTATATTGTTGTGTAAACCCATATAGTACAAAACGCTATATTAAATAAAAAGGACTATAATTCAAATTTATTGTGATTTTAGATTTCACTTTGTGAAACTAATGCAGGAATATATCACAATTTCATACGTTTAAGAAAAATCAGAAAATATCGTAATAAATTAATGATTTAATAAATTATTTGTGACGTATTTAAAGTAGCCTGTCTTATGATATACATGAAAATCTAACAATTTTTCTCAAATATGTATGTGCTATTATTACAATTATTTTACATTAATCAAAAAGCATCTTATTCTTATTGTAGGATTACTATAAATTATAAAATTGATATTATTAATATATAATTGAATATAAATAACAAAATTCTTATTATCTCAATATATTTTATAGTTCTTATATGTTTCAATTAAGTGTGTGAACATAAGATAGGTTTCTTTAAAAAAATGTCTCTTTTATTTATACTGAATAAACTTAAACATCTTGAAGATATTTAATCTAAAACGGGTACAAAAAAAGGTGTGTAAGTGCATTATAGTACTGATAATGTATCCTTTTAATCAGTATTAAAATAATTGTCTTTGCTGTGCAATAGTTTAAAATATTATATATATACTTAAAACAGATACGCCATCATGTAGTTTATATGCCAAATTATGGATACTCGAAATAAAAATAATTGCTATTGTAACTAAGAGCAATACTTCTATGTTGTAAATTCATTATCGAGTTTTTGTATACTGCTTTAAATGAAATTAAATGTGAAAACTTTGCAATAATTTTTTATAAATGTGTTTAAAGAAGATACATATATACACGTATCAGTTAAGTTACTTGAACTGTTAAAACTTAATATAGAAGTATTGTAATTTTATAATTTGTATCTGTGAGAAAAATAAGTTTTTTGTTAAATAATATCAAAAATAATTCTGTCAATATCACTTATAAGATACCAGACGTTAAAAGAAATGTTGCATTCCGTTGAGTGAAGCCGCCCATACCATCCCACCTCTTAGGTTCCTGTACATATTATGCTATTGTAACATTAATAACTTAATGCTGACTAATCTTTCATAGATTGTCAAATAATATGATAATTATATCTTTTTGCTGCTTTGTGATCTATAAGAGATAGAACTTTGTCGGTACATGTGAACATAGAAATCTTGATTCTTATTTGTGAGACAAGAAGATAGGAGTTATATAATAATTAACAAATAAACAATTGTATTTAAATATGAAAATAGTTGTCTATAAATAATTAATTAGTATTAGTTATAATTAAAATATTAGAACAAACAAAATATATATATACGTAAGACACAAGACATTAACAAAATCTTGAGAAATAATTACTTGTATTTCATTACATCAATAAAACAAAGAAGAGTTTTTCTTCGCATAATACAATTCAATGTATTTTGCAAGTGCCAAGTAAAGCATCTAAAGTTTTTACAGTGCTTTGCATTGTAATCAAAATTAATTAACTAAAGTGAAAGTACATACTTTACAGATCATATCAAATCCAATCAAAATTTTGGTGCAATAGAAATAAAATAAATTTTATTGAATAAAGTATGATGTTATATATAAATATATAAATAGAGAGAGAGAGAGAGAGAGAGAGAAAGAGAGATTATAGTTATAGTCACAGTTTTTATTCTACACGTATACTGAATGCAGGGTTACATACAAACAGCAATCAATGTTATAAACAATAATATGCCTTTATTTTTCTTTAGTTACGATATTTACACTAAATTTAAGATATATTTTTTAATCACATACTCTTTAGAAGATTCCAAAATTCTTTTTCAAACTAATAATAATAAACATATAGATATATTAATTTCTTTTTAATAAAATGTGAACTATTTTAAGCATTCCCTCAAATTTAACATATTAAAATTCATTGAAATAATTGAAAGAATATATTTAAACAATTGATTTGAACAATAAAATCAATACTTTTATGTAATATCGTTATAAGTTGATTATAAACTAGTTTGCCATTATGTCCAAGGTCCATATCACTTAGTATTAAGCTGGATTCATATACCACATAAAGTCATTACATTATAAACTGTTTAAGTAACATTTACTTCACTATGTACTTGCACTTGCCATCAAAAATTTATAATGAAATTAATTCTTTCTATTATTGAATATATCGACAACTTATAACAAGACATTAACAGTAATTAGAATGTTAATGGATTTGAATATGTAAATTGTATAGTATATGAATGAATCATGCTGGTTTTACGACCTTTAGGCTTTAACATATTATCATCCAACTTTTTAGTTAATTGGACTGCATTGAGTAGGATGTATCTATCGATAATACTAGATTTCTATTTTACTGATATATACTCGGTAAGTAGATAACTGTAAATACTTGTTTTAGATAGGACAGGATTTCTCAGCTTTTCTGATCACTAATAATAAGTTTATACTTATTAACACTAGATTGCCCGAGATTTCTTGTATAGCTATATTGCCCAAAAACAGTCAAAATGACTGCATTGTGAAAAAATAACTAATGTGTAAACAAATTTGTTTAAAATTAATTTTTAATATTTCTTATATTATTTACAGTTATACAACAAGTTATTAGTAAATATTAACAATATTAATTAATTAATTATTATTAATTCTAAGAAATTGTGTCATTATATACATAATTGTTTTTCTAATTGAAAATAAAAAACAGTCAAAATGACTGCCTTGGGCAATCTAGTGTTAAATAGGTATCTTTTACATTCTATTTTCTTCAAAATTAAATATATTTATTTTTCATTTGTTGCGTTACTTAAATGACGCATCTTTAGTGACATTGCAATTTGACATTCTTGAATATGTAAAAGATATTCTCCATTGGCTTCTTTTTTATATAACTTTATTTGTTTTCGAAACGTTTCGAAGTAACATACTCAATGTGTATATATTTATAGATAGAAAATGGTTATTTAACATTTTTTTTTCATATCAATATTTATTTTTTACATACCAATTGATTTTCTTAAAATTATAATATAACAATTTTATATATTTTTCTAAAAAAGAAAATATCATAATAAAGTAATTAAAAACTTGAAAGAGCAGAACATTTAAAGCTCTATATATTTTATTTTTTATTTGAATGTTAATCAAAATTTATGTACAATATTTCATATAGTTTTGTTAATTTTATTTTAAGTATTTTTATATTTAAGAAAGATTTTAGTTGTTAAAATCAAGTTTCTATACAAATTTGAAGTTAATTGAAAACACAAATTATTTAATCAGAATAAATAAAGTGAATGTGAAATATCGTGTCAAAGTAATCATTAAATTTGAAATAGAATTTATAAATAAAAAATCATAAAATGATTTACTAGAAATGAATACAATTTTAGTTGAAATTTATGTTTAAAAATTATGTTGGTATGTTACCTTTTTATTACCTTATGGTGGCAGCACTATCTTCGAGCTTTTCTGACAGATACATATGCATCCTACATATTTTACCGTTCGATACGAAGTTGAATTATATTCAATGAAAATAAATCCATACTCGATATTGCTATCTAAGGTGGTTGTTATAATTGTATATAGATATATATTCATATATTTAAATACATATTTTTATTTATTTGAAAATATCATTTTTCATTCTAAGTTAGCGAATAAAGAATTTATATAGAATGTGTTTTACAATGTTTGTGTCGAAGCTGATTCTAAGATTATTCTAACCTTATTAGAGTTGTGTTTACATGAAAAAAAGAAACAATTATATAGTTAATAATGTTTTATTAACATTTGAAAATATTGCAATTTTTCTAATAAGAAAATACATTTATAATGTATATGAGTAAAATTTTATTTTGGTTTTACATTTATTAAATAAAAAGTCAAATAATAGTGTCTATAAAAAGGTTAACCTGACAATTAATAGTTGAGTAAAAGTGTTTTTTTTTATCCTCATTTAATTTTAGTAGAAATAATTATGAGTTATCATCGTGGTGGTGGTAATAAGCCAAAGGGTTTCGGATTCCCTGGTTTTCAAATGACAGGAACCAAGAGAAGTGGTTCTAATGTACCACCTCCTCCACCAAACTCAGTATTGAGTAAGCAGGGATATCATACTATGAATTCTATTACTGAGAATGCTTTATCTGCTTGTTGGGGTATGCCAAAAAAACGTAGTAAGACAGAAGAAGAGTAAGTAGAATATATTATAACATTGATAATTATTATTTCATTATAAACATGTAACATCTTACCATATTTGTTTAACAGATATTTTGAAGATGATGATGAACCTCCTACATCTTCTTTGGAATATATACCTGCACCTGGATCACCAACATATGACTTAATGAAAAAGTCCGAACCAAAAGAAGATAGCGATAGCGAAGAAGATCCTTTAGACGCTTTTATGGCAGGCATTGATGCGGAAGTTAAAAAAAATAATTATGAAGCTCAGTTAGCAGAAGAAGATCGTAAGGAAGATAAATCTAAGGGATTTAGAGCAGATATAGATGGGGAGGATGACGAAGAAAGCTATTACAGGTAAAGAAGTTATTAAATTTTTTTTTAGATAAATAATAAAGAAGAAAACAAAGTAATTATTATTCATTTTATAAGGTACATGGAAGAAAATCCTACTGCTGGATTGCAACAAGAAGAATCAGATCAGGAAATCGAATATGATGAAGATGGAAATCCTATAGCACCACCGAAGAAAAAAGAAATTGATCCGTTACCATCGATTGATCATAGTGAAATAGAATATGAGTCTTTCGAAAAGAATTTTTATAATGTACACGAAGAAATTTCATCTTTAAGTAAACAGCAGATTGATGATCTAAGGAAGACTTTAGGTATTAAAGTATCTGGACCTTCGCCACCAAATCCTGTCACTAGTTTTGGACATTTTGGATTTGATGATGCTTTAATAAAAGCTATTCGAAAAAATGAGTATACACAACCTACGCCAATTCAAGCTCAAGCTGTTCCTGCTGCTTTAAGTGGAAGAGATATTATAGGCATTGCAAAAACTGGCAGCGGAAAGACAGCAGCCTTTATATGGCCAATGTTAGTTCATATCATGGATCAGCGAGAATTAAAAACTGGTGATGGTCCTATCGGTCTTATTTTAGCACCTACTAGAGAGTTATCGCAACAGGTAATTTAAAATTGTGTACATTAGAGGGAAACATATTTACAATATATTTAGATAATTTAAATAAATATCAATCATTTTCTGTTTAGATTTATCAAGAAGCAAAGAAGTTTGGTAAAGTGTATAACATACAAGTCTGTTGTTGTTACGGAGGTGGTAGTAAATGGGAACAAAGTAAAGCATTAGAAGCTGGCGCTGAAATAGTTGTCGCCACTCCTGGTAGAATGATTGATTTAGTTAAAATGAAAGCAACAAATTTAACAAGGGTTACATTTTTGGTATTAGATGAAGCGGATCGAATGTTTGATATGGGATTTGGTAAATAAATTTATTCAAATTAATATCAAATGAAATTTTTCTTTACTAATTCTTTGATGGTGTTTTTTTATAGAACCTCAAGTACGGTCTATATGCAATCATGTTAGACCAGACAGGCAGACATTACTTTTTAGCGCTACATTTAAAAAGAAAGTTGAAAAACTTGCTAGAGACGTTTTGACAGATCCAGTAAGGATTGTACAGGGAGATGTAGGAGAAGCAAATACGGATGTAACTCAACATGTTATAATGTTTCACAATAATCCTTCTGGTAAATGGTCTTGGTTATTACACAATCTTGTAGATTTTTTAAGTACTGGAAGTTTATTAATTTTTGTGACTAAAAAGGTAAGTCTATTTATTAGAAGTATTATTTTATCATTAAATATTAGAATTTCTATACATTTAGTTGATTTTTCTTTTTATTAGTTGAATGCAGAGGAACTTGCCAACAATCTCAAATTAAAAGAATTTGATGTACTACTTTTGCATGGTGATATGGACCAAATTGAAAGAAATAAAGTAATTACAGCATTTAAAAAAAAAGATGTCAGTACTTTAGTTGCTACTGACGTAGCTGGTAATTTTATTTGTCTTTTTATTTTAATTTATATATTTTTTTTTATATACATAAAGATATGGTATATTATATTTATATACATATAACAAAATTGTTTTATCTTAGCTCGTGGTTTGGACATTCCACATATAAAAACAGTTCTGAATTATGACGTTGCACGTGATATTGATACGCATACTCATAGAATAGGTCGTACAGGTCGAGCAGGAGAAAAAGGTACCGCATATACTCTTGTGACGGAAAAAGATAAAGAATTTGCAGGTCATTTAGTGAGAAATCTTGAAGGTGCAAATCAGGAAGTACCTAAAAGCTTAATTGATTTAGCTATGCAAAGCGCTTGGTTCAGAAAGTCTAGATTTAAAGGTGGAAAAGGTAAAAGTTTGAATGTTGGCGGTGCTGGGCTTGGGTTCAGAGAAAGGCCCGATACTTCAACGACTACGGTATTTATCGATCGTTTTAAATAATATCTGTATGTATATATTTTGTAATAAAATGAAAACTTAATTGTTATTATTATTATTATTATTATTGTTATAGAATGATTCTTCATTTCAACCTAGCAGCGGTACTTCGCAAGGGTCCAAAGATATAAGTGAAGTTGTTAAAAAATTAGAAAGACATGGTCCAGGTAGTGATCGTCTTTCTGCTATGAAAGCCGCTTTTCGAAGCCAATATAATTCACAGGTAAAATAATATTATTTCGTTATATTCTACAAATATTTATTACAATCAATATAAATAAATGATTCGATTCCTTGTTCATTTTTAGTTCCGAGCGTCGTCGGATCATACGTGGGAACAAACTATTACACCACCTTCTGTTATAATGCCACCACCACCCCCAGTGCCACTAAAACCTAGTGTAGATCGATCTAAGGATAACGAAACCTCCAATTTTTCTGAAGTGGACAACAAATTGGAACGAAAGAGAGTACGGAAAAGTCGTTGGGAATGATGAAAGTATAATTATGCAAACATGATTTTGTGATCGACTTTCTCAATATGAAAAATTATTTTATATTACAATAATATTTAATTCCATCGCCAATACCTTGCAATATATTAACGCGAGTCTTATTAACTATTTGATATTTCATTTCGTCTTTTCCGTTATTGTAAATTTATTGTATATAAATATGTGTCGATCAACGATATAAAATTAGTCTTATATTTGTTACTATCAAACAAATATTTCTAAAATAATAATAATTATATTATCACTGAATAAATGGATATTTCAAATCTTTAAATATTATATACACTCTTCTAGATTTTATAGTATTATATTAAACAATTTTCATCAACTTACTTTTTTCATATCAATCACTCTCGTTTTCATTATATTCTTCAGAAATTGAAAATTGGTAAAGCTGTTAATGAAAATAAATGAAATAATATTATCTTATCTTATAACATATGCGATTTATTTGATATTTCAATATGATTTTTGATTTACATGCTTACATGTTTGATAAAAAGCGTATTTATTTTGCATACGAAGTTTAGATAATCATTTATAGCACTATTCATGCGATACAAATACTTAACAATCGTTAAAATATTTTGATTCTTGTGATAATGAAATAAAAAAAGATCAAAATTCATTAGCTGTGATATAGCAAGGTATTAATAAAACACCTATATTGTGGAATAACATATTTTAACGCTTGAATACGTATTGTTTTTAATCAAATTATTATAATTATAATAATAAATTTTCAAAATACCTTATATCAAGTATATTAGAAATTTTCGTAACAATCGCATAGTTACTTTCTTATGTAAAAACTTGCATAGGTTGCATTTACGTCTTCCCAAACACGTGCACATTCGACCCTCCATTTGCTTAGAATGAATCATCTCGTAATTATTCCAATAAGGACTTATGACCATGATCACCTAGTCACAGTTTTCTCAATAATCCATTCTTTACTGAAACACCTTAACTATATACACATACGTATCTAGAATATATTCCGTTTCAATCTGGAGCAATGAATTTTCTGCTGCCTTGTGGTAAAAGGAGGGGGGATCGATCTTTCGTATGTAATCGAGGAAATACTGCGTAATTCGATGTTGTAGAAATTTTAATAGATTTTCCTAATAATTATACGATTTTCATAAGATCGTAATTTTTCCCCGTAAATGGAATCTCGCAAAAATATATCTACCAATCTCTCTTCTCGTGTAACGTCCTCCAAGTTCCGACAAAGCGGCGAACGATGCCGATGCTAGTAGGTGCTTTATTAAGAAAAAAGAAAAAAAAAAGGAAAAAAAATAGCTCTTCGTGTTAGCTAGATATGGAGATTATACCAAGGATAAGCTCGAGATGATAAATCACGATCAATTGCCTTCGTGGTGCCGCGAAATAATCGACTAGGGACGTCGTTGACGAGAAATCCATCATCCATCTTGAACGAATTCAAAACTATTTCGTTCATGTTTCGATATGTTTCAAATAAAAATGAACGCTTTGTAATACCTTTCTCGATCTTCCTTCTTTTGACTGATAGTGTTGCTGCTACTGTCATCTCTTTATGCAAGTCGTGGATTATTAGACGATTATCTTAAATCCTGTAAGCGAAAATGAGATATTTCCAGCTTCTTTCACTACCCGTCTCAAGAGTAACGCGATAAAAGATATATATTTGTAATATGTATTATCAAATCCTAACTTTCAGTCTTTCGAATGAACAATTTTATAATGATTTTTAAGGATTAACGCACTGAGGCATCGCTGGAGTGCTCTTCCTCCTGATCTTTTCAATATTCGTTGATAACAAATTCATCGATTTTTTATTGCAATCATTTTTTCCTGTAAATTTTTCCATAGCTCTAGTGTAAGATCCAGTACATACCTTTCCCCAAAGTCTCTTTTCTTCCGTGTTCTGTTTGCCTTTCATTTCATTTAAATCAATTTCCTTTTTTCTTTGATTTCTATAATTGTCTGTTTTATCCAAAAATACGTTTGATCCCTGTGTCGTTATAACATCTTCCCAAGAAACATTTGTATCCGATTGGCCACTGGATGGTGTAGGACAACTACTGTCACTTGACAACGAAGATGACCTAACAAAGGAAGGTTGTACTATCAATTGGATTCTTTCTTCGATATGAGAACTATTCGAGGGTGATTCACTTTTGGCACGAATATTCGTTCTGTTATCTTTTTCATTAACGTTGACTATCGAATCTACATTATCGTGCAACGTCAAATTATCATTGACGATGATTTTAGCGATCGACATTCTTTTTCGAAGATTTTCCATGTTCTCTTTCGGTGTACTTTGAAAACTGTCGACCCTTTGAAGTATGTCTTTTAAGTTAACATTGGAAACATTAACGTTATTATTCAATTGCATCGATTTGTTTAATTTTTTCTTATCTATTTTTACATTTGTATTAAAAGTCATTTTATTGTTGCAAGGAGATTCTTGTATTTCTTCTTTCGTATGATTCGTTAATTGCGGATAAATGTAATTAGGCATTCTTTCCTTTTGACGAATCGGATTTTGATTAATCGTTTTGACAAACGAAGATGGCTTTTCTTGCTTATCGTTTTTTAATTTATTAGCTACTTTGACGCATTGCTTGTATTTTTCGTCAATGGTAGTATCAATACTATTTTCCATACCGATACTTTCCGTAAAATCAGCCTCCGAGGACCAATTTTTGAAAACTAAACCATCCTGTTTCTTATTATCCCTTTCATTAACAATATCAGCACTTTTATCAGTCTTATTATCGGCTATTTGTTCGGGTGTTACTTCCTTTGATATTTCTTGTTGATTATCATCGTCATCGTTATCAAATTCATTTTCAAAATTCTTAAGGACACCCTCGTTCTTTTCATTTTTTTTTCTCAATTCTTCCCAATTTTTCCTAGGCTTGTAACTAGTCTTTCGTCTGACTATCGTACTTTCCGTAATATCAATGTCAGGTATGAAAAGACGCAATGCCTTGGTACCAGTTGGAAACGTAACTTCGTTGATTCTTTTTTCGCTCATAATTGCTTCGAGACTACTTTTTGAAGCAACCTCTTGATGTTTGTTAAAAGCAGAAACTAATTGAGCAACTGTATATTTTGGTTCCTCAGTTTCTGACTCGATCGAACGATCTTCTTTATCATCCGAGATTACAGAATTGTTTGAATGGTTAGAGACGTTCGAATGTTGTCTTTGACATGGATATTTTCCCATGGATAAGTCGTTCGATCCTCTTTCACGATCCAAAGGAATTTCATCGGATTCTTCCGTCAGAGTGTCCGATTCGATAGATTTCAAGGAATCAAGATTTTCCTCCGACCTCGAGTCGGATTCTTTCGACATCTCCGAACGATCGTATGTCTTTTCCGCGCCTATCGAGTCAGATAAGATCAGTTGTTTTTGCAAAGGCTTTTCCTCTTTCGTGTTATCTACGATCTCGTCTACAACTGGCTTCTCCAAAAGGGATCTGTTCGTTTGTCGTCGTTCTACCGAGTTTATCGAATTACGAGTCTCGCACGACGTTTTTTGATCATCATTAATTCTCGACATTTCTTCAACATCGATTCGTTTTATGATAGGAACAACATCTTCGGTCTTGGCTCTTTCATAGGGTTTCCTCTTACGTCTGAGACATTCCAAACTTCTATATATGTCAAGTACACCCTGAGATTTCGAAAGCGATCTTAAACCATACAACTTTTCTCGCGATTTGCTAACAGGGTGCATTGAAGAGATCATACGTTGAACAGGAGATACAGTTGTTTTCGAAGTACCGTTTGATAGACAAGTTTGCGATTGTATACGATGAAGGCTACGTATTCTGGACAAAAGGCCACGACTAACAGCATGATTTAAATTAGCTTGGGAACGGCTTTGCGCTCGACTAAGCAACCCCTGCGTTTGTTCCTTGTTCAACAGACAACTTTGGCTGGCGCAACTGAGACTCGTTCGGGACGAGTTCAAACTCACTTGGGAGTTAGACGGACTAGGAAAACTTTCGCTTCCGGGGAGACTCGATTGGCTTGCAGTCATACAATCGCTCAGGCAAATCTCGCTGTGACTTAGTACGCAATCTTGAAGATTTTGATCGTGATTATCCGTAGATAAGAGATTTGCTTGACTCGTAGTTTGGCTCAAAAGGGCTGCTCTTCTTAGATTTTCACGACTCACCACACGTTCCAGAAGAACTTCACGTGATTTTGATAAATATCGTCTCAAATGTGGTGAAGCTTGGGTAGGGGCACCGCGTAACCATTCATGACGCAGACATTGCTTCGCTGTCATTCGTGCTCTAATGAGAAAACAAAATAAAAGAAGACGTTAAAAGTCTTCAAAATTTGATTATAACATTGGTTCAAAAACTAACCTTGGGTCTAGCACTAAAAGTTTAGCGACGAAGTCCTTTGCCTGCGCCGAAACTTCCTCGAACAATTCTTCTGGGAAATCAACTTCACCTAGGGATATATTTTGAAATGTTTCTTGATCGGTGTCGCCTCCGAACGGGGAGAAACCTGTTAGTAATACGTAGGTTGTAACACCGAGAGACCTGGAATATTATATGTAACACGATTTCAAAATCTTTTTTTAATGATTAATTGCGAAATAATTAAATATACACATTGATGTATCTAAACTTACCACATATCGGCGGCCAATGTGATCGGTTCGTAGTGCAGTATTTCTGGCGCTGTAACAAAAAAAAAATAATTCGATAGAAGTTTTTAATTCGTACCAATCGATATCTTCGATCTGCATTAAGATTTTTTTTTTATCTGATGGAAAAATATCGATCATTTGGTTTGTGAAATCGAATAAATCTACTTATTGCGTTCAACGAACACAGATATACACGTGTAACGTTTACGGATACAAATTACTTAGTCCAACGGCCTCATTTGTACTTGCTTAATTTATTCGTGAAAAGTGTGCCACGTAGAAATCTGTATTTGGGTAAGGATAAATGTCTTACGTGAACGAGTCTACGGTAAATCCAGTATCCTCGATTTATTCATTCAATGATCACATTTATCCAAACTATCGTATAATATACAATCTTATAAGTGTAAAATTCAAATTTAACGTCATATTCCTTTGACAAGACTTCGTAAAATCTTCGTAACGATTAATGGAGATTACCAATTTTACTCGGGAAGTTTTTCGAGAACGTGTTATTTCGATCAGCATTCACATAAATTCTCCGTGAGACCTTAAAACTGATTAATCGATCCACTAACGTGGTTTTAATCGAATCACTTTACTCTTTACTTCTCCTCCTATCAAATTATCTTGTTAATGTAATATCAATCGATCAAGCTTTTTTTTAATTTTATTTTTCATAATCGTCCTGTCATATAAGTTTATTTTTTTTGCATATATTAAAATATTACTATATTATAGTTAATTAAATATTTATTATACGTATATCAATATATAAATTCATTAAATCGTTGATAATATATTGCAATAACAATTTATTCGTAATCAATTTTCCTCGTAACGCGATCTTGAGAAGAAGAAGAAAAAAAAAGAAAAAAAAAAGAAAATTAGAACAACTGTTTACCTCGAAAAGATCGTTTTACATAAAGTCCGTAACAATGCAAAGTGTATGGCGTTTTGTTAATTGAAATGCTAATTGTACTACGACAAAGGTCGATTTAATTATCAAGAACCGGGCGTGATCGAGATCGAGATTTGCGATAAAACGTATGCATGTATTATATATATATAATAGTTTCTCATGTTGATTTCATAAAGATATTTCTAGAATGTTGTCGATGGTTGGTGAAGTAGAATCATCTTATCAAGGAAATCGAGATAAATCTTGTTCTCGTTTCTCACAAACGCGGAGGAATTAAAGACGATTATTTTGTCGGATGCAAAAATTGCTTGGAAATATTCTTCATCGTAAGTCACGTGTTAATCTTTTAAGACAAAAAAAGATAGAGAAAGAGAGAGAGAGAGAGAGAGAGAGAGAGAGAGAGAGAGACCCTTGACATGATCTTCAAGTTTCTTCGTAAGCATGGAAAATTTCAAACGTGAATTTGTCGAAAGGTCGTAACCACGAAGCCGACCGAGGTTAACGCGTCGATTAATATCGATTATATATTTTTGATCGTCGTCAGCTCAAGATCGCCAATTAGTCGATCCGGATAATGATCGGCACCGATTAAAGCAAACGCCAAGCGTGTTTTGCAAAATGCCGATGCACCTGCAGGACTCTTGTGTGTAAACGAGATATCAAGGCAAACGTGAATAGCATTGATCACTTACAAAGAAAAACAACTCTCTAATTCTAGACTCTTATCAAAATGATTATTTTCAAATAAATATGTGTATATATACGTATATACATATATGTATAGAGTGTTCTTAAAGTTATTTTAACAAATTGAGAAATGATTGATTTGTATTTGATAAATATTTTAAAATATTGGTATATTTTTTTTTAACAACACTGTACATATCAAATATTGTAATTCGATAAATTAATATTTATATTTTTGGTTTTGTTTTTTTCTTTTTCCAGTAAAATGATTTTTAGGATACTCTGTATATATATATTAAAATATTCATTTATTTTTATATACTAATATTATAATTTAATTTAAATTTATAAATTATATGTGTGTGTGTAAATATAATTAAATATAATTATAATTTATAAATTTATTCATAAAATTAATACAATTTTATATTATATTTATATATTAGATATAAATATTTGTAATATATATTACTGCTTTTTTTATCTTCTATTTTATTGTATTAAGTAACGAAGTTGAATCGTTTTTTTATTTCATTAATCCCCCGTACGTAGTTATATAAGTGATTGCATTTGATTTCGTGACACGATTAAATCGAGAACGTGTTTGTTACTTGAAATATTTCCTGTATTCCAATTGGCACGAAAATTACAGACGGTAGATTTTTGTCGGACAAACGGTCGACCTAAATAAAATTCCCGGAAATAAAAAAAAAGGCACGAAAGAGAATTACGAAGACTAATGATGAAAAACTAAAATGTTGGCCGTGAAACGTCCCTGTCTGGAATGTTCGCAAAAAAATCACCTACCTAAAAGTATTCTTTAAAGAGTAAGTGGAGAAAGCTTTCCACGTGTTTTTAATGAATGGAATTTTGATAAGTAAACATATATATATATTACGTATATAAAATTTAATTGAAAATACTTTTCTCAATGCGAAGATTGAAATTATACTTTACGAAATGTTTCGAATATTTGATTAAATACTCATTAATTAATTGACACTGACACTGACACGACAATTTACAACACGAATTAGCCATAAATCAATTATAAACATGTATAATCGAAGGAAACGTTGCTCACCCACATAGTCAGGCGTCCCAAGAATTTCACGAACTTCCGTGCCTTCCAGTATGACCCTTGATATCTCAAAGTCGCAAAGTTTCACGTCACATTCAGGGAAAGTACCCATCATCACGAGATTTTGTGGCTGTAAAACAAACAAAATAAATTATATAACATTATTAATACGAAAATTTTAATAATTGCTTATAAATAATATTAAATTTATAATATATAAATTTATAAATATAATATATAATTTAAAAAATTTATAATAAAAAAATAAATTTATAATAAAAAAATAAATTTATAATATAATATATTTATTATTATTATTATTATTATTATTATTATTATTATTATTATTATTATTA